GGTTTTTTAACTCAGTAGCGAGGAGCTACACCTCAACTAATTTGACATATTGAAAGAACGACAGATCTTAGAATCAACTTCAGACGAGTTCGAGAGCTAATTCAAAACCGATCCAGTTCGCATTTTCAAGTTGGATTTCAACTTTATGACGAAGGATATCCAATTCCTGGCTCAACTTCACGACGAAGGGGCCACCCACGGTTTCAACTTCACGACGAAGGGAATCGTGATCACCATTGTCTCTCTTGAGACAGTTTCCCTTGAAACAAACTTTGTCTCTCTTGAGACAGTTTCCCTTAGGAAAAAAACCTTTGAAATCGTTTCTCTTGAAACACAAAAAACCTTTGAAAAAGTTTCTCTTGAGATGAATTTTGTCTCTCTTGAGACAGTTTCCCTTGAAACAAAATCTTTGAATATGTTTTCCTTGGAACTAATTTCATCTCCCCGTGAGACAATTTCTTTTGGAACTAAGTTTTGTCTCTCTTGAGACAGTTTTTCTTAAAACAAAATTTTGTTTCCCTTGAGACCGTTTCTCATGAAACAACATATATCTTTGAGATCGTTTCCCTTGAAACGAATTCTATCTCTTTCAAGACAACTTCTTTTGAAGAATCATCTGAACCGTTACACTCAGCTCAGGCACATACTTGAGATGGTCGAGAAGCATTTCTCAAATCAAAAATAGAATATGCACATCAGATTTGAACATTTGAAGAATTCAAGATCAGGGATCAAAATTTGAAGATTCAAGAATCAAGATTCCAGACAGGCAACTGGAGATCGAGATTTCTCTCCAGAGCCCCAAGATAACATATGTTGCATATGCATTTTAGGCACACCCAAGAGCATTGCATCCATAGCATCACATATATGCATAACTTTTTCAGGTTTTAGCTGGAGTCAATTTCAACTTCGCGGCGAAGGATATTGAACTCAAAGCGACACAATTTGCTCGAGAGTGGATTTCAACTTCACGACGAAGGATATCTAGCTCGAAGCCAAACTTCACAATAAAGGGGTCTCCACGGTTTCAACTTCACGGCGAAGGGAATTGTGTCCACCCGTAACATACAATACTTGGATTTCAACTTCACGGCGAAGGATATTCAAGTCAAGGCTCAACTTCACAACGAAGGGGCCATCCGCGATTTCAACTCCACGACGGAGGATAGCGTGGCACTCGAGACAACACAAGTTCAACTTCACAACGAAGGGACGACTGGTTGTCAACAAACAACTTCTCAATTGCAGAGCCAATTTCAACTTCACAACGAAGGATATTGGACTTCAGACAACGCAAGTTCAACTTCACGACGAAGGGACCGCAGCTTGTCAACAACAACTTCCCAATTTCAGAGCCAATTTCAACTTCACAACAAAGGATATTAGACTCCAGACAATGCAAGTTCAACTTCACGACGAAGGGACCACTGCTTGTCAACAACAACTTCCCAATCTCAGAGCCAATTTCAACTTCACAACGAAGGATATTGGACTCCAGACAACGCAAGTTCAACTTCACGACGAAGGGACCGCTGCTTGTCAACAAAATTTCATTCAGGTTCAATTTCAACTTCACAATGAAGGATATTGGACTCGAGACAACACAAGTTCAACTTCACAACGAAGGGACGGCTGGTTGTCAACAAACAATTTCCCGGTTCCAGAGCCAATTTCAACTTCACGACGGAGGATATTGGACTTGGAACAATGCTACTTACTTGGATTTCAACTTCACGACGAAGGATATCCAACTCAAAGAAGGATTATCTGCCATCAAAATTGTCAAGTTCGACTCCATTCAGCTCGATGACACATCAATCGCACTACTTTCCGGTTGTAGTCAAGGTTTTCAAGTCGAGAAGAGGACCTGGGTTAGCCGTGCCTTAGTGACAAGCAACCATTTTCAAACAACATAGCTTAAGTCAAGAAAAAGCTATCTGTCAATGAAGATTTCTGAGTTCGATTCCGATCCAAGGTCTTTAAACCGAGAAGAAGACCGAAGGGTAACGGGAAGCCACGTGCTGATTCAAATTCCGAACTACGGCTTTAATTTCATATCATTTCAAGATGAACTCGACTTCATGATGGAGGAGTCATCCGTAACTCAATTCGACAGGGAGTTATTGAAACATCAGAGTTAATTTTCAACTCCACTGAACGAAAAGTGTGTCTTTTAATCTTTGCCCTATCCCCGTTACACGACTATGGGCAAAGAGGGGCAGCTGTCAACACACATTTTTCGTCCTACTAGGATTCAAACTCCTAAAAATAGGATAGAATTTTAGGATTCAAACTCCTAAAAATAGGATAACATTTTGCTAGGATTCAAACTCCTAAAAATAGGATAGAGTTCTACTAATATTTAAATTCCTAAAGATAGGATCCACAAGCACTATAAATAGCCATTGTAACTCACCATTGTAAGACACGATTTACACACAAAATACAGATGAAAGCACGGAAAATACAAAGGCAAAGCTATTGTAAACGATTCGAAAAGGAAATAAAAGGTAGCATCTTTTTACCTTGATTCGTTCATTTCTCGCATGTGCATGTTATTTTTCTTGAGATTTGGTTCGAATAACCCAAAGCGTGGGTTGCGCCGATGACCAAAAAGGGGTGGGGTTTCGAAGTTTCGAACCTAGATCTACTCCCGAGGCATGTTCATTTTTTTTAAAGTATTTAATATTCCCCCTAAGTCAATTTTAATCATTAATTTACCTTGAAATTTACCCTTTAGTTTTACTTTTTTATTAATTTCGTCCCCTATATATATTTTTTTAATTATATTTTTTTTATTTATTTACTATATTCCTCTGTTTTTTTATTATATATATCTTATATCATTATATATATATATATATATATGTTTAGATGTATTAATTTTTCTCCATTTACTATGTATATATATTTTTTCTTAATATTATATTTTATACGTTTTTATATATATTTTTTTCTTAATATTCTATTTTTGTTTTTATTTATTTATATATATATATATTATATTTTTACTTTTTTTTATTTTTTTCTATTTTTTTTAATATCATGTATATCTTTATTTTTTTTACTTAGTATTCTATATTTATTATTTTTATTTGTTTTAGTAAATACTACTTTATATGAAAACATTATTTTTATTTCTTTTTAATTTCTTTTACCTTTTTTTTATTTTTTTACTCCATTAATTTTTTCTCTTTATCGGTGTCTTTGTTTTTTAATATTTTATTCATATTGTTTATTTTTATTATATTTTATTATTTCTTACGTGTTTTGTTATTTTCTATTTTTTCCTTGTTTTATTTATTATTCTCATGTTTGAACACTTGCTATCCTAATTCGATTTTATACTCCGCTACGAATCTAACGTTTTTATCTTTTAAGGGTATTCAAATCAATCAATTGTAAGTAATTTGAATCAGGTCTGTTAAATTTTAATTTAAATTTTGAATTTTCGCAACTAAGACAACCGGTAAATTAATTGGTACCGAAAGGGCGGTTCAAGGGTGCTAATCCTTCCTTGACCGTAACCTACTCCCGAACCCGACACATTTCTGGTAAAAACGCAGATCAGGTAATATGGTGTCCGACCCACCTAAATTTGTTTTAAAGTGGTCGGTGGCGACTCCAATCCACATTTTTCAAGCGAAGCCCAATTCCGGGGCCTAACCGAAAGACGGTTGCGACACTTTCTAAAAAAATTACTACTCTATATCTATTCCTGATATAATGAAATATACTTTGTAAACCCTATAGTATGAGTTTTTTTTAATAAATTTAGATTTTGCTCTTGATTAGTAGGAATGGCAGAACGACCCGAATCCGACGGAGAAACTCGAAACCCGGCTAAATTCAGGTCGGGTCGGGTCAGGTATCGGAGTAAAATTCGGTGATTTTTTCTGGTTCGGATTCGGGTTAAGGTATCCCGCCCCGATTATAGATATATATATATATATATAATATTAATATTTTATATATTTTATATTAATTATATATATAATACAAACAAAACATTTTGGGTTCGGGTTCGGATTTGAGTACAACATTTCGGGTCGAGTTCGGGGACGAGGCAAAAAAAATTCCTGACGGGGCACTTCGATAAAAAACCCGACGGGAAACGGGGTGAGGACGGGAATAAAGATTCATTTCAGGGACAGAGACGGGGAGCAATCCTATTAATTAGTTCTATTTTTTATCTTATCAAAAGAAAATTAGATTTTGATCCTTTAAAATTATTCTTTTTTCCAAAATATCAAACGCATACTTATCCACAAATATCTTGTTAATAAGAAAAGGAGTAAGAAGGGGGGGGGGGGAACATCTCATTAAAGCCAAATATTTGAACTACCAAACAATGCAAGCACGCCGTCGCCTGGTAAAGACAACGGCAAATATTGCCTTAAATTTCCATCTCCTATTAGATTACACATTAAATTCATTTGCTGACACTTTCTATCTACACTTGGCAACATCCAACTGCAATTACTTTAATCGAATCCTCTTTTTACTTTCTCTACTTTTATGATATATGTCCATCGAGCAGGCTCTTAGTATTTGTGGCAGGCAATTCCCAGCAAAAATGGGTAAAAGTTTTTAAGTTCAACGTATTAAGTCGTTTGGTCGTAGGATTCCAGCTATATTTCAGACACATCCTTTATTCCTTTAAAATTTTACGGCTCTTTTTGTCTGCCACATTTCACATGGTAAAAATAACAAGACATTGTTTGCCAACTTGCCATAATATATGAAGGGTCCCGATATAAGATAGTCACCGAAGATCTGACGAAAATAGCATACCATTACTGACAAAGCTTCCTATAGAAAACAACCGTCTCAAATAATTAGCTCATGTCAACTCAATTAGAAAAATTGCCATCAAAACTTAAGGCCCCATAGCAATCAAAGGAATATATGGCTATTATAATTTCAAGTATGAAATAGAAAATATTGTTTGGGGTTGCAATCAGGAATATGTATCATATTGAACCATGGAAAAAAAATCCCACCGAAAGAGAAACAAAATCATTAATAGGTCTAATCAAATCTGTCAAGGGGTGGATACAAAGCTCAAAATCCATTTTAAAACACTGCTAGCTTTCCCATCAAATATACCATCTTTTTTCACCTTTCTATTATGCTGTACAATCTCAAGAAAATTAATGCACTTCCCCAGATCATGAGAATGGTGGGGACTGCCCTCTCAACAAACCCCAACTAAATTCCAAAATGAAGACTAATCTTCAAGACTGCCTGCCTGCACCTTCATCGAACTCCACTGCAATGTAGATTATTCATTTTATCAACTGTTTTTGGCTATGGATTCTTTTTATTGTCTTTTTATGTACCTTTGTTTAGAGTATCAACTGAGGGGAGCCCTCTGAGGAGTGCCTTTCCTTTTGCTCAATTGTTTACGAGGCCTTAAACTTTTGAGCACCCATGTTTTAGTCTCCTCTTCTGAAAGATCGGTCGACGTGAGCGACGACTGCTTCTCCTCCGAACTTGCTTCCAAATTCTGATTGTCTTTCCATGAAACATCGCGAAATTCTTGTATTTGTATATCCATTTGATGGCTTTGGCCTCTAGGCTTCACATCAACGGCTGATACCTGAAAGCATTGATTAGATTATGGTTTACATTGCAAATGAGGAAATTCACGTAGTAAACTTGAGTTTTAAGAAATGAATCCCGACATGCACCTCATTTACCTTGCATGCAATGGAACAAAAACGGTTGGGTGGGTCTTGAAGGTATCTTCTACAAGCTTCGCAGGCAGCACCGGTTTTCGATTTCGTTGATGGCTTGGCATCTTTAGCCTGAGGCCTTGGATTCAAATGTACAGCCTTTTCACCATTGATTTTGTATGTCTAACGGATGATTAAAAAAACATTTCAGTAAATAAAACTGTATATGATGATCATTCGAACCACGACTAAAGTTAATCAAAAAGAGAAAAAGTATATAATAAGTCGAAAATGTGAATGGAAAATAACTAGAAAGCAATTCAGTACTAGAACAACAGGGAAAAGCAATTTGGATGATTCTGCAAACATAATGATATGAAAATCTCTCTTTTTGATTTCAAATCTTGGTGTTTGCATATATCTATCATTCTACAATACAATTTAGAGGATCGATAATCACCGATTCGTATTCAACTATGCATATATCAGTAAGAATTGGAAGAAATTCATAACAATCTTTCCCTATTTTACAGATATTCTTCAAATTTACTTAAACACACTAATATACTATAAATGCTTCAAAGCTAGAGATAGTAAACGTATAAAAAACCTGAATTTTGGAACAGTCGAGATGCTTCTGCATTTCTTGAAGGCGAACAACGTCTTGATATACATATTTGCAGATCTGAAGTGAGCGGTGCTGGCTATGAGACTTACAATGCCGGCAAAACTCGAGACAACAGTTAATGCAGAAGACATTTTTTTCATTTTTTCTTAGGTCTTGATGATCAAAGCAAGGACCAAAGAACTCACTTTCCAGAAGGGTATTAAGCCAATCTGTTTTCTTCTTAGGGTACACCCCACAACCCACCTACAATACCAAATCCAATTCATTAACATCAAATAAGCCTTGAAATAATGTTCTAAAATTCTTGCAATTATAACAGTTAATTCCAAGTTCATATCAACGGAAACACAATAGTAAAGTTAATACACAACAGTTAAGATTCAACTTTTAATGCGAATATACCAATTAGAAGTAGAATTTATTCAAATTTCAATGAACTACAGCATTCAAGATTCTAAATTCAAAACGGCCTCAGCAAAGTAGTTGAATTCATGAACAGGGTTGGAAATTTCAACAAAATCAACTTAACCAAGAGGATTTACAGGCTGTTTTCCATGGGTATAGCATAGCTGCAATCAACACGAGATTGAAAAAAAGATTGAACTTCTTTATATTTGTCTAAATTTTCCTGGAAACCAAACAGACCCTTTATCCCTGATAGTCAAGTAAAATCAATCACCAAAAACAAGAAACGGATACCCAACATTTAAAACTGCAAAATTAACTTCTGCAGAAAGAGAGAAATAAAAGAGACAGAAATCTCACCATTTCTATTCTTTGAATTGGATATCTAATTCCCTCTTTAGTTACCGTGATGAATACTCAAATGAATACAATTTGCAAAGAAGTATGAGGGAAAAAAAGAATTGAGAGGGTGTAAGAAGAGAAGCCTACATAATGTGGAAAGTGGGAGGGAAAATATAAGGAATGTGCAGTGCAAAAGAAAAGAAAGGAGAGAAATTTGTGACGGCAGAAACGTTTGGTGAGGAAATGAAAGTGACCTACCATAGGCGGGAAAGGTCAATAAAGCATTCTGATTGGACAGTTAAACTTGATCGGACGGCTATTATTGATTTGTTAAAAAATTAAATGATGGAAATCACCCTCATTATGCTCCAATAACCAATTAGTATTAGTAATTCTTGATCACCCACTATTAAGATCACATTAATTTCACATTTGTTTTTAAAAATATTTTTAAAATTGAAATTTTAACATCTATTTGTTATTCTATACATGTTTATTCTACAATTTATACTTTTTAATTCTTAATTAAGCTATAATTATATGATTCATAAATCATTTATAGATTTAAATATTTTATATCGAATCAAATGATTTCCGTAGTTAAAGAAATAATTATTATTTTTAGAGGTTCCGGATTTAAGTACCGTATTTACAAGGGTATTTAAACAGTTATTGTCAAATATTTAAGAGTCTTTTGATCAAATACCGCCTCAAATCATTCTATACTAACAAAAATTATTTTTTATATCTCATAATCTCAATTGTTTAAAATAAAATTGATTTTAAAACGTCATATTTAAATAATTATTTATCTCTTAAAATTAATAATAATACTAAGCATTTAAATTTTAAATCAAAACTCTTCAAAAAAATATTTTTATTCAATGTACATTGAAAATAAATAAATGAAAGGGCAATCACAACATTTAAACACAATCTTATTGCCATAAATAGAGGATTAATTAATTTTAAGAATTAAATTAAGGACTCGATTTGCCCTTAAAAGAGTAATTAGCGATAATCATAGTTTGATTAAAAAAGGATTAAATCAAAAAGTAGAGAATAAGATTGCAATAATTTCTCCATTAATTATGTTTTGAGGAATCATTGAATTTCCTACAGAAAAGAAAGGAAAGATTTTTTTAAAGATTTGTAGACTGACCTTTTCTCCATTTTCTTTGGCCTCAATTTTCTCCATTTGGTCAGCTCTTTTAAAGACACCTTTGCCCTTGTAATGTCATCGGAAGTAGGGTTGAAGGCATGGACAATTTGGACTTGCATCAACAGTGTTTAGTTGAATAAAAGATAATTATATTTAAAATTTTAAAATTATTCAGAATTTTATATATTTTTAGATTTTTTTACACATAATATTTCAATGAATTGATGGTCAGATGTAATAGTATAATTATATTTACGTTGTGATCTATTGTTTAAATAATATAAAAAATTTAATTTTATAAATTTAAAGATAATAGATGTTTAAATATTATCAAATCTTCACCTTCGAATATTATAATAATATATGATCGAATTAAAACTTAATAAATATTATAATTATAATCAGTATACATATTAAATGTTAAATTTATTGAATATTTTATATATTTACTATTTTTTTATAAATAAAAATTATATGCCTTTAAATTATTGAAAATGTGTGGGGATGGTGTTATGTAGATGAAGGCTACAATCATATCAAATGAATATATAATATAAAAGGTGTGGATAAAAAGTAGTTGCTATATATGCTCCGAAATTTGTTAAATCTCAACAGTTAATAAAATCAACCAATTAATTAATAACCTCAACCAACAGTTAGTTTAAGTTGTAAACAATTTTATATCGCTTAAGCAATGTCTCAGGTTTGAGTCTTTGTGTATGCATGAAATCCCCACTGGGAGACTCACCTACCAAAATTAAGTGTGTAACCCAGGTCAATCCAGATTAATTTGGGTGAAACCTTAAATTGGAAGGGGAAAAACCTCAAAAAGTAATAACTAAATATAAACGAAAAAGGCATATCTACGAGTGATATCTTACCTGTTCAAAGACAACTTTAAAATAATTTTATTTTTTAATTTAAAATAATTTTATATTAGGGTAAAGTACACAAATGATCCTAATATTATAGGATTTTATTTTATTAGTCCCTTGATTATTAAAAGTTACAAAATGGTTCTTCGACCATAGAATGTTGTTTTATTAAGTCCCTCAACTATTAGGAGTTACAAAATGGTCACTCGACTATTCATTATGTTCCAAGGTCGTTCTTTTCCTTTAAAAGATTGGTGGTTGTCTAAGCTAGACAGTAGCATGATAATTGAGATATGATAGTTGTTTGAGATTCTGATATCAGATTTTATCATGTCATAGTCAACATGTTAACGTTCAGCTCAAATTACTATTAATTTTAACGAAAAAGAACGAGTTCAACAAAGTAACACTCTATAGTCAAATGATCATTTTGTAACTTTTAATAGTTGAGGGACTGAATAAAGCAACACCCTATAGTCGATGAACCATTTGTGTACTTTATCCTTTATATTATTATTTTCCTTATACGAATGTTGTTGAACTATGTTTTGATATAAAAATTTAAGGGAAAATGTTTTTGGAATTAAATTGAATTTATTCAAAGTTTTCAAAAGGTTTCAAAAATAATTCAAAGTCCATTAAATCCGAATTTGAGCAAAATATTAAAAGGTAATGATACCCATATTAATGGGTATCAATACCCCCATGAAGGCTCAAATTACAGAATGCAAAATGGGTACAAATACCCCTTTAGAGGTACCGATACCCCAAGGCTCCAACGGCTAGTTGATTTGAATTTAATGAAGGGGTACTGATACCCCTATCAATACCCACTGTTATGGACAGCCTTGTTTTGCAGAAAAATTATCCCCAAACGGCTCCAAAACATCCCCAATGACTAGATACGAGTTCAAACTCATTTCAAGCTATAAATACAAGCTGGAGACACTTGAAGAAGCAAAAGAACACCTATCCAAGCAATCAAACACAAGAGAAGAGTTTTTCATTCTTATTTTTCTAATCTCTTGTAAATATTTTGTTCTTTTGAGCTTAATTCTTGTAAACACTTACTTTAGAGAGGTTTTCTTGTTTACATTTCCTTTCATTGTAAAAGGGTTTTTGTTCTAGCTAAGCTTGCTAAAAGCTAGGGAAAGGTTATAGTTTAACTCGTGAAAAACTAAGGAGTTTATAAAGGTTATCTCTTTGTCTTGTAAAAAGAAAAAACAAATTATTGAATTTGTTGGAAAATCCTTGGTGAGGAGCTAAGGTAGTGGATGTAGACATGGTTGAGAAGTCGAACAACTATAATTGCTGTGTAATTTTCTATCTTTCAATCTCCTTACTCCCTAAACACAAAAACCAACCTGACCCCTCTTGGCGAACCCCTTCAGTTATCGATTCGAGCTTCCGTAAATCCCAAAAATTGGCAGCAGAGCCTAACTCGTTAGAAGGTTTAACCACCTTGAGATAATCCTAGAAGTAGCTCTACCAATTTCCAAAACAACCGACAAGAAATGACTTTTTCCTCCGGTGCCTATTACATTGAAGATTTACCTATTGTGGATTCACAACCGGCCAACAAGCCACCCTTCTTCAATTGAGCAAATTACGCCCATTGGAAGAATAAGATGATGTTCTTTATTCGAGCCTTCGATCTAGGAGCTTGGAACTCAATCATGAGGGGTTACTCCACTCAACCTGGTGAGATAGATGATTGGGATGATTGGAGTAATGAAGAGAAGAAAAAGTTCCAGCATAAGGCCAAGGATATGCACATTCTCTTTTGTTCTTTAGGCCCAGATGAATATGGAAGAATCTCATCTTGTTCCAGTGCCAAAGATATTTGGGATAAGCTACAAGACACTCATGAAGGAACCGATGAAGTGAGGGAAACAAAGATAAGTCTTCTCAACCATAGCTATGAGAACTTCAAGATGAAACCCGATGAAGACATCAAAGCTATGACGAATAGATTTTCCGTGATTGTTAACGGTCTCAAGGGATTTGGAGAAGTAATCCCTAATGAGAAGCTTGTAAGGAAGATGATCTACTCTCTTTCAAAGTCATGGCAATCGAAGAAGACAGACATTATCGAAGCCAGAGATCTAAAGTCTCTCACTCTCGACAAGCTAATTGGTTCCCTTCTCACTCATGAGATGATGTTAAAGGAAGAAGAAAAAGGTGAAGAGAAGAAAAACAAAAAGAAGAAAGAGATAGGCATTGCCTTCAAATCCACCAATGAAAGCTATCAAGATTCAAGTGATGAGGTGGATGAAGATGATGATGAACAAGAAGATGAGATGGTCAAGCTCTTAAAAGAGTTAAAGAGATTCATGACTTCCAAGGAAGTAAAGCATGGATCAACCAAGAAGAAAAGTCCCCTGGTGTGCTTTAATTGTCAAAGAACGGGGCATGTCAAGTATGATTGTCCCCTTCTAAGAAAGAATTGATCATCTAAGAAGAAGGCATATGTGGCATATTGGAGTGATGAAGATGACTCCAATGATGATGAAGTAGTCAACCTATGCCTAATGGCCACTCATGAAGAATTCGAGGTATCTTTTAACTCAAATGAATTTAATTCATTTACTTTTGATGAGAGTTACAAGATGCTTATAATAGGTTGTTTTTGGGATTTGAGACCATGAATTCCAAATATACGAAATTAATTTCAAAACTCAAAATTAAAGATGAATTGATTTTGAAAGTAAAATTCCCTTTTGAAAATCAAAATGAAATTTTGAAAAATGATTTAGATCTTTCAAAAATAAAAATAAATTATTTAGAAAAAGAAAATTTTGATTTAAAAGTTAAGCTTGAAAGCTTAACAAAAGAAAAAAAATTAATTTCTAAAAACGACCTATTATGCTTAAAATGGAAAAATGCTCACATTGTCATTTTCGTGGTCACAAGGAACATACTTGTCCTTTGAAGAAAGGAAAACATTTTAAAATTAGACAAGTATGGGTTCCGAAAGGAACAAGGGGCATTGAAATAACGTCCAAGGATCCAAAGCAATTTGGATACCAAAATTGTAATGAATTTCTCTTGTAGGTGTGTGGGAGCAATAGTGATGAAAGTGATGATATTCAAGATGCTCT